AACACACATGTCCTTTATTTTGTACATCAGGAAGGGGGGCTAGGGAGGGGTAAGTGGAAGGAGGTGAGGGAGGAATGGGGTACCAGCCCCCAATGGGGAGGACTGGGGTGGCTCTGCGGGCTCCTCGGGGTGGAAGCTCTCCTGCAGCCCCCTGATTGACCACCCCTGGATGGCAGCCTGCAGCAAGTGCAGCCGGTCTGATGGCCGAGTGCTGTGATGCGCCGAGTGTGGGCACTCAGGGCACTCCAAGCCAGGACTGCTTTGCTGTCCCTCATCGAGGTAGACAAGCAAGCGGGGAACCCTGAGAACTGTCTGTCCAGGGTAGGGGTCGGGTCCCTTTAAGCACAGCCCTTGGCTAGCTTGAGGCAGCAGCTCCACACTCTAAGTCCTAACCTGATGCCCTGCCGGCACTGGTTCCGGCCATCCTTAACCTTGGTTCAGGGTCCACTCAATGTGGACATGCTATTTTGAGTTAGCAAAACGCTAATTCGAAGTAGTTTTTAGGTCTAAGACGCACTAATTCGAATTAGCTTAGTTCTAATTAAGTTAGTTTGAATTAGTGCTGTAGTGTAGACATACCCTTAGTAAAGACAATTACAAGGGCTTCACATATGGAACTGAACACAAATTAATAACAGCTCTGCTACAAAACACCATCGAAACAGGACACGTAAGCAGAAGGACATTTCTTAGCAACAAAGGCTGTTGATGAAATAATACATTTGCGTTTTGGGGCATATAAAGATTAAATATAAAAATTGTCATTTTAGTTTAAAAATTAAAAATGTAATTGATGCTCTTGGACTGCTAATATTTGAAAGGCATGGTTCAGCATCAGTTACAGTGTTTGCTTAAAACCCATGATCAGATGCCACAGCTGATCTCACTCACAGCATTTTGTTCTGGTCCACTGGCTTCAGTGGAAATGCTGCTTATTTATATTGATGTAACTGAGCGCAGGATGAGGCTTCCACAGTTTATGACTCGTCCCCACTATGGACCTAAGTAATTTCTAAAGCTGTCCTTTGCCAACTCCCAAACTCATAAAAGCTGCATCTTGTCGCATGAATTCTCTAAAATTCATCCTGCAAGAAGCACTTTAGTATTACATTTGATAATCTTCAGTCAGGGACTTTGTTGCTGAGTGCCATAGGAATGCTTATAAATTGAATGAATGAAATGAGATTTGTTTCTGACACTTAACACAACATCAGTGACAATTATAAGATTCACTAAGGTCATGTTTTCCCTGAATTTAGTGCTGTGGAAAGGCTCTGGATTGATAACTTTGCAGATTGATATCTTCCTGTTTATTCTAGATCAAGTACACCATTAAGTAGCAGTGAAAGCTACTCCTCCCTGCTCTCTCTGCCAACGTGCCTTCAGGGGCTCCCTGGAAAGTATAACCTGTTGCCTGAACTCACCAGCATGGGTAACAGTTGGAGCAGGGATGTTAAATATCGGTTAACTGAATAGTCAAGTAACCTCATGAATTCTTATTGGTTACTCAACTATTCTATAGTCCCTGGTGGTGGAGCCAGCAGCCAGCGTACTCCAGCCTCATTCCTGAGGAGCCTCCTGCCACCCTGCACTACAGCCTCTAGGAGTGCTTGGCAGGAGCTGGTATATAAGGGCAGCCACTTAAAAAACTGGCTGCCTGTTGCCCTTTGCTGCTGCCTCTGATACAGAGGCAGCAGTGCAGGGTGGGAACAGCCCCTGTCTGGTGTGGGTCTGAGCTCCCAGACCCGGTGCAAGCTATAACTGAGTCAGGCTGCCTGCCTGCCTGAATCGTAATACACTTTAAAAGCGTAGCTGCAGCAGGGGTAGGTCCTGGACCCAGCACAAGCCAGGACTGAGCAGTGCTGCTGGGCAGCCTGCTAAAATATTTACTGGGGGGGAGGGGAGGGGGAGAGAATGCATGTAGTCTATAGCATTAACCTATAAGCGTTTGTTTATCAGTTAATTGGTTAATCGACTACACTATTACATCCCTAAGTTGGAGTGGCAGGTTTTGTGATGTGGACATACAGCTATTGGATGGGACACAGAATCAAACTCATCTCATATAGGCCATCTAATCATACCCATCAGAAGGTAACAACTTTTGGTCACTGCCTCCTTGGGCTGGATTTGAAGTGGTGGCCTAGAAGAGAAAGAGTTTATGTACCATTACCAGTGTCTTGACCCGGCCAAGGCCTGCTGGTGATTTGGTTTGCTGGTTGTTGAGCTATTCATTTTAGGATGGCTATTCATGAGGGGCGACTGAAACTGAACAGGTAGGGGGTTTGGCTGCAAATTCAAACCCCCAGGTTCTACCAAGGGTACTATGATTTAAGTGTTGTTCTATCAAGGCACGATGACTGCACATTTAAGTCCATTAAACTCAAATGTGGGATATTCAGATTTAAAGTTTGGCCATGTCAAAAAGAGCTGGTTTGAGTTGGGCTCATGCTTTCTGAATGATTCATTCTGTCCTGTTAAAATTATACAGTGACAGTTCAGGAGACGATGAGAGAGGTTGCCATACTCATTCGTGCCTAATAATTCCTGGTTATTCTCCTCTCTGATTTACTCTTCAAAATTCACATCTAGCCTTCCCATCTCCATTAGATATCCTGCCTCTGCCTTCATGCGGCTTCTGCCCTGCAGAATCAAGGGGAGAACATTCAATGGAGCTCTGCCATGCAGATCCAAGAGTAGAATTTTGCCCTTAAACATGCCACAAACACCTATGAAATGATTTACACTGAGTAGTATTTTTTCCTGGCCAACAGAAGGACCTTACCTTAAAGACTATGTTCTCCAGCTGTTATCAGTGAATGATGAAAGCTAGTGTGGCAAGAAGACCATAACTGTGGATATGACCAGTCATTTGTACCAGTTCCTTGTCAGGTAAGCAGCTCACAGATCACCAGAGAAATTAATTAGAAAGCTCTGAGAGAGGTGAACTCTTCACTACTGCTCAGCCATTGCACCTGGAACTGCCTTGTGAGTGTGGTATTACCCAGCTTGGACATGGATCCCTCTTCCCTTCAGTTTATGAGTCTTCTTCCAACATAACAGAAAGTTGTTATGTTAATCAGCCAGGAGCTGGCAAAAAACTAACACATAGAAATTTGTTCATTTCTGTCAGCTCTGATTGTTAGCATGCTGTCTGTCTGCAATACCTATCACTGGACTGCTATTCGTTACTAATACTGAAGCCTATATGCCAACTGCCATAATCATATATACATCTTCAGTAATACTACTGAGTTATCTTTCACAGCACTGGTTATCTGAGGAACCCAAAGCTCTTCACGAAGGTAGGTAGTATGATGGCAAGGAGCGAGGAGGTGACATGTCTCTAAGGTTACAAACCCACCATTCAGCAACAAGCTGCCGATAAGTCTGCAGGAGAAGGAGAAGAGACAGAGCGTAGCAATACTCACGCTTGTTTTCCATGTGCTACCATGTATTGTGTGAATTTATTTTCCTGAAAGACTCAGAAACATATGGCTAGACGGGATCTCAAGAGGTCATCTAGTCGAGTCCCTTGCACTGAAGCAGGACCAACTGTACGTAGACCAGGGTGGGTAGTAACACAGTGGTGGTTCACCAGGATTAGCTCCTGGTAGGCTGCCACCAATATATTTACCTGCATCGCCGCAGGTCCCAGTGATTGTGGCTCTCATTGGCCACGGGGTGCCAATTCCAGTCAATGGGAGTGGTGGGAAGCAGTGTGGACTTTCTGCAGTTCCCATTGGAAGGGAAAGGTGATTCATGGCCAACAGCAGTGCAATCGCCGATACCTGTGGTCATTCAGGTAAATATATTAGTGGGGGCCCACCAGCAGCAAACTGTGATCTGGCCTAGGGGTTGGTACTGGCCCACCCCTGATGTAGGCTATCTTTGACAAGTGTTTGTCTAACCTATTAAAGAGCTCCAGTGACAGGATTCCACAGCCTTCCTTAGACGCCTGTTCCAGACCTGAACTAGCCTTTGTGGCAAGGCATCTCATTGCTCTCATCATTCCTCCCTCAGGGATGGGGGGAACCTAAAGGGAGTAAGTCTGACTCCAGAGGGGTCTTCCCCCTTCACTTTCTGGTTTATTTCTTGATAGTTACAAAGTGGGCCTCATGGTAGGCCCAAGTGGCGCTCTTCAGCCAAACAGAAGAAAGAAAGAAACACCTAGAACAAAAAGGGACTATCTCTTCCTGCCCCTTCTCTGGGCTGTTACCTTGTTAGGCTGGCTTCTGTGTGCCAGTCCGTCCCCAAACAGGCATTAAAATAGATTGCTTCCCTCTAATGGAGGAGGGCAGCCATCTATCTAAGAGACAGCTTTTCTTCCTGCTGCCCCTCACTCTGCTGCAGATTCATAGAATCATAGAATCATAGGGCTGGAAGAGACCTCAAAAGGTCATCAAGTCCAGCCCCCTGCCCAAGGCAGGACCGATCCCAACTAAATCAACCCAGACAGGGCTTTGTCAAGCCGAGATTGTATCTCATTCCCCGCCCTCCCAAAGGTCACAGGCAGCCATTAAGTGGACAAAGGTGGCTCTAGTTAACCTTTAGCTCATAGGGAAAAGGGCCTTTACCACTGTAGAGTGTAGTACCTGCCTTCCCCCATTCTCTTATAACTGTCAGGTCTGACTTTGTCACATCTTATAGTTAGGAAGATTTTCCTAATATCTACCCTACATTTCCATTGTTGCTGATTGAGTCCATTACTTCTTATAAAAGACACCTCCCCACTTCAACAGAGGCAGATTAGAACAATATGGTGGCTTTTTTAAAATTCAGATTTCTGCCCTGGTTTGGCACGATGCCTGGAGTGCTGCTCAGATTCAATGAGTGTAGCACAGCCTCAGACATGCTCTAGCGCCACCAGAAGGCATGCATAAGGCAGGGCCATCATCGGCAGAAGGTCTCTGGCCTGTGCTGTAAAAGAAGTCAGACTAGATGATCATAATGGTCCTTTCTGGGCCACTTCTAGGGCCTGATCCAAAGTTCACTGACGTCAGTGGAAAGGCTCCCATTTGTTTCAGCTGACTTTGGCTCAAGCCCATGGAGAAGTACTAAGGTCCTACAATGCATAATAATAGTTGCAGGGTTGGGAGACATGTCTGAAGAATGCTGCAGTATTTTCCTAGGGGATGCAATCCCACCTCACTGGGGCTGAGTAGTTGCCTCTAACTCATCTCTTGTTTCTTCCTGGGATGGGGAGCAAGTGGCATGTCTCAAAATAACAAGTCAGAATTATTTTTTATAGAAATGTTTAAAAAAATCCCACTGGACCTTGGGATGACCAGTTTGTACCTAACTTTATACACCCCTTTTCACCTATAGATCTCAAAGCACTTTGCAAAGGTGGTTTGTGTTATTAACCACATTTTATACAGGGAGAAACTGAGGCATGGGAAGTTGGAAGTGCCTGTCAAAGGTCCCCAAGCAAATCAGTGTCAGACCTGGGAACAGATTCCACCTTTCCTGTTACCCTGTCCAGTGCTTCCTTCACTTACTGTGGTTGCAGGTTTCTGGAGCTTCTGCCCACCATTTGCCCTGAAAAGAGTTTCTACTGATCTATCTGCCAGAATTTTCTTTAATTTACATATTTTCCTTTATATCTGTACAGCCAAATATCACCCACACAGTGCAGTGCAAATATGGTCAATTTAATATCGTAGGGTATGTCTAGACTACAGGCTTACGTCAACATAAGTTTTGTCGACAGAATCTGTCGTCAAAACTTATGTCGACATAGAGCATCTAGACTACATCCAGTTCTGTCGACAAAGCAAGCCGCTTTGTCGACATAACAGTGTGGACACAAAGGACAGTGTAGATGCAATAATGCTTTCTATCGACAGAACTCTGTCGACAAAAGGCTTTATTCCTCGTAGAATGAGGTTTACATACGTCGACAAAACTGCTGAGTTTTGTCGACGTTATGTCGATATAACTCAAAGGCAGTGTGGACTCAGGTATAGTTTTGTCGACAAAAGTCCACTTTTGTCGACAAAACCCTGTAGTCTAGACACACCCTAACAGTCTGCCTGTCTGTCTGTTTGTCTCTCTCTGGGTACGTCTAGACTACCGCGTTTTGTCGACGGAAGTTTTGTCGAAAGATACTGTCGACAAAACTTCCGTCGACAAAGAGCGTCCAGACACATTGAGTTCTGTCGACAAAGCAAGCTGCTTTGTCAACAGAACTCCGTAGTCTGGACGCAACGTTACAGGCAATAACACCTTCTGTCGACAGAGTTCTGTCGACAGAAGGTGTTATGCCTCGTAAAATGAGGTATACCAGCGTCGACAAAACTGCTGAGTTCTGTCGACGTTATGTCGACAGAACTCAGCGGTAGTATAGACGCTGGTATAGTTTTGTCGACAAAAGTCCACTTTTGTCGACAAAACTAGGTAGTCTAGACACACCCTCTCTCTCTCCAGCTGTCATGCACAGGATTTAAAAATACTTGCCTTACCATTAACCTAGTTAAACCCCCAATGGAAAGCAGCAAGTTGACTCACATCCCATTTGTAAACATGTTCTGCCATCACCTCCCTCCCCCTTGCCCCAAAGGAACAGAACTGGTGGGAGGTTTTCCAGAGGAATGCAGTGAAATGAAGACTAGGAGTCGTATAAATACCACTAATGTCACTAGTCCACAGCTATTGGTGGCCGTCATGTCTTATCTTACTTGTTCTTTCATTTTATTGCCATTCTGGTCTCTTCCACTTTGTTCCCTTTTCTTTTTTCCCTTGTTCTTCCTTTTTTATGTCTGGCCGGTTTTTGTGCTTGCTTTGCATTTCTCTCACTGCAAAACTATCCTTTTGTTTGAGAAACCGAAAGAACATCATCCTTTTCCTGGTCTATGTCCTACCAACCCCTCTCCCTAATCGCCTTCTATCTTGTTCTTTTGTTCCTTTCTATCCTCTTTTTCTGCTTGATTCTTATCCCTTGTTTTATCTCCCCCTATTTTCCTTCAAGGGTCTATCTCCTTACTCTCTATTGTTCTTTTCCATGGTGTTTCCTCTCCTTGGTCTCCCACTTTCCCTGATGTTCCTGCTCCATGTTGTCCTCTCTTGCTTTACCTCACTTTGCTTGCAATTTTTTGCTGCTCTCCCCAGCTCACTTCCTCCTACCACAATGATTCAGAGAGGTGCCCCACTGAACAGACCCCTTTTAAAGACAGACACCTTGTAAAACAAGCAAAGAAACAAACAAATGTCCCAGCTCTGGAGAACTCAATGTGAAGCAAATTCCCAGATAAAGGAGGGACCTTCATTTTAGAGCAGGGCCATTTCCTAGGCAGGCAGTGAAATAAATATTGCACATGAGGACAAATTATAGTTCTTCCTCAAAATCACTGTTACCTTAAGGTTAAGGTTGTTCAGGTGCTTTTTTCTGTCATTTCAAGCAGTAAAAAATAAAGGGTCTTACTACTGCAGTGTGTATTACCATCCAAAATGATCTGCATCTCCCACCCAAACTCTGTAACATGCACAGGTAATCACAGCCTCTTCTCTGCCTCTACAAGGTTCCTTTTGCTTCCGACCCACAGCCACTCACAATGCATCCCTCTAGTTCAGTGGTTTCCAAACTTTTCGGCATCATGCCCCCCTTTTTGATTTTTTGAGAACCCCTCACCCCCCCCAAATAGCAGCAAAACTTGGGGTGGGATTGACGGAGTGTGTGTGTGGCTGGGTCGCCTCACACCCCCCCTGGAATTTCTTCATGCCCCCCAGTTTGGGAACCCATGCTCTAGTTCCACTCAGTCACTCTCAAATGCACACACTTAACCATAGGCTTGGAGAGAGGAGGTTGCCTTAATGACGATGAATGCACTTTCACTGTGAGAGTACGAACTGTGTTCTTACCTCTGAGCAAGCTAAAGTCACACTGAAGTTGG